CCCCCCACCTGGGGATAACCATGCTCCCTCGCGAGGGTCATCGCCTTGTCCCACTGGTGCAGCGTGACGCACGCCTCCACCGCGCGCCGCGCGTCCCCCGCCCTCAGGAACGCGCCGACCGCCTCGGCCGCCAGCCCGACGCTCTGCAGGCGCGCGCCGACCGACAGCAGCAGCGGGTCAGCCTCGGGCAGGGCGTCGGCGAGGCGCGCGAGGGAGGCGTAGTCCTCCAGGCGGTAGAAGCACTCCACCAGCATGGCGCTGTTGCGGGACTGCGGGCAGCAGAGGAGCAAGCGGGTGCAAACGCAGGGTGCAGGGCCCGAATTTCACCGTTTGAGGTGGTTGCGGCCCACGTGGGCAAGTGAGGGCGAGACGGTGTAGAAGACAGTACGGGGCGACAGTGACAGACATCACCGGTGATGACCCAATTCAATCCGGCCAACCCGCGCCATCGCTACAGAATCACCCACGCGCCGCGCCGCAGCCCGTGCACTCATAGAGACCGCCGAAAACTTCCCCACGCGCCCTCTGCCCCGCTCTCACCTGCGTGAAGTGCTGCGCCGCGCGCTGCCACTTCTGCCGATCGCTGTAATACTGCCCTATGCGGTCCGCTGCCTCCCGCAGCTCCACGTCGCTGCCGCCCCCCTCCCGCAGCAGCTTCTCCACCCGGAACCAGTCGCCTGGCGCGCGAGCGCCGAGGCGGATCAGGGGCGCGCCAAAAGCGCGCAGTCGAGCATCTCAGGGTTTCGCGGCCCGCAGCAAAAAGGGGGGGTTGCGGCAAGAAGGTGCAAGTCCTCGCCATCACGACATGAGAGGCTCCAGAGCTTTGGCGCGATCCCGAAAGGAGGCGGAGGCAGCTGGCGGGCGCGGCAGTAGAGTGATGCAACATCCAGGTCAGAGGCCGGAACCCTCATTGTGGCGCTGCGCCACGCCCCGCCCCTCCCCCTCCCCTTCCCCCCTGCGGCCTCACCCAGCCTGCTCCTGAGGGCCACCGCCAGGTCCAGGCGGTCCATCTTGCGGTACGCCTCCTCGGCCTCGTCGAACCGCTTGAAGTACAAGCACACCTGGACGGACCCGATGTGGTGCGGATGAGAACGGATTAGTACCTTCTGTTAAAAAAATCAGATGCCTTGTGGCCAGCAGGCTGGGAGGCTCCAGGAACAGCCAAGCCTGGAGTCAGACAGAATTCATGTCAATTGTGCACGGGCGGATTTCGGTGGCTCATGCTGCATGGGCGATGACTGAGCATCATGTTGCACATCTGCGCCGTGCTCGGGGCGTACGTAGGCCCCACGATTTGCACCTCCGCAGTCTGCTTGAGGGGGTCCTGCTGCGCCGCCAGGGAACGCGCCAGCTGGATGCCCTGCCGGGTTGCGGAATGCATGCTTGTTGCGTTTCGTCAGCCGCGGGACCAGCCAGCTGCTACAGCAAGTAGGCTTTGCTTGCTGGGTTGGCTGGAAAAACCTGGTGACTCGGTGGTCAGCACCACAATGCCATGCAAGGGCCGGCCCGTGTGACTGCCCCCCGAGTGGCTGCATCCAGCCCACACACAGCCAGCATGGTCCCGAACAGCCGCCGCCGCTGGCGGCTCACCGCAAGGTCTGAGCAGTGCACGAAGGCCCTCTCCGCCAGCGCCCAGTCGCGCCGCTCCAGCGCGTGCTCCGCCAGCAGCCGCCACAGCCGCGGGTGAGGGTTGTCCGACACGAACGCGCCCGCGCTGTCGGCGCCGGCGCTGCCGGCCAGCAGGGCCCGCGTGTCCCTGACGGGCGCCGCGCCGGGAGCGCAGCAAGCGGGCCGTCACCACTCGCCACCCTCGTCTGCACGAAAGCGCTTACTGACAATGCCACGGATTGGTGTACTGGGATCCGCAAGAAAAATCAAGCACTGGAGCCCCATCAGGACGGGCCGAGCAACCCTGCTGCGCAGCGGCATGCGCCGCGCCCCGCCCCCCACCCTGTCACTTGTTCCCCACCTGAGGCTGCGCGTCTCATAGTCAACAACGCATGCCAGCTCGGGGGCGTCGGGGTCCGCCATCACGTCGTCCAGAAACACGGACCGCACCTGCGGCCGCGGCCGCCGACGTGGGGGTGGCCCCATGAGCGGCGGAGTGCTGCGGCCCCAGCAGTGGGCAGAGCCGGATGAGGTGAGGGTGCGGCCGAGGCTCTGCAACTGCCTCTGCCGGTGCACAGGCGCCATCGACGCTTCTTGCCAAACACCTGGCAAAGAGCCACCCCTTCTTCTGGAGATATAGACATGACGCATGTACAGAGTTGATGTCATGTCGACCTGCCTGCGCAACCACCCAGGCCCCGTACACACGCGCGTGCATGCATGCACAAGAACGCACAAAGATGCGCACACATGCATGATTCACATCCACACACACACAGACAAAAACACACACACACACACAAACAAACACAAACACAAGCACACACACACACACACACCTCCAGATCCCTGAAAGCCGCCAGGTACCCACTGCTGGCCACAGGCTCCTCAGGCGCCCCGCCGCGCAGCACGTACAACCGGCCCTTCTCCATCAGCGCCACCAAGTCGGGGTTGTCCTCGGCCCACAGCATCCCCCACACGTCCTGCGTGCAGCCGACCAGGGTGCACGGACTCAGGTCCGTCCGGGTCACGATCACTCAGCTGGCATCGCGCGGTGCGCGCCATTCAGTGGGCGGGGGGACGGGCCCCTGCATCATCCAGGGATGGCCAGGGTCCTCCGCTCTGGCGAGCTGCGGGCATTCATCACCCGCATCACTGGAGCTCGCCACGCCAATACGCCAGCCCACGCAACCCCCGACGCAGCAAATGCAGCCCGGGGCCCGTCCTGCGGCCCCCTGGATGCCCAGCCCGCCTGCATTTCTTGAGTGCCCCCTGTGGTCGTACCTTTCGCTCCAAGGTGAGGTGCTCCCCGGTGATGGCCATGCTCTTGCCCGCTGCCGTACCACCGCTGCCACCCTGACCAACCAGTCCCGGCCTGCCGCCGCCCGCCGCCGCCGCTGTCGGCCT